CAGCTCTGCTTGTGTCCAGTTCACAATCCCACCAGTGTATCTAATGACGGGGATGGCCCAGGGGTTGAGAGCCTTGATCGTATTTCTGCCATTTAATTTGCTCTTCAAAACCTTTCTGACTCTTTGGATATATTCTTTGCTGACCACAAAGAATACTATTATTATTATTATTATTATTATTATTATTATTATTATTAAATTAAATCACTGCAGCAAAGACTTTCTTCAGAGACATTTAACTTCCCGGAGTCACCATAACTTGCAAATAAATTTGTTAAAAACCAGACAATGTGATTTTCTGGATGTGTTTTCTCATGTTGTCTCTCATAGTTGAGGTCTACCTAGGATGTCAATTACAGGCCTCTCTCATCTTTTACATTTATTTATTTACTTTATTTATATACTGCTTTTCTCAGCCCTCAGGCAACTCAAAGCGGTGATCCCACCAGTTCTTGGTTGTAGACAGATGGGAGAACTTGTTCAATTGGTATCTGACCAAATTCTCTCCCCCCCCCCCCATACTTCTCTAACCTGTGAAATCAGCTCAAAAGAGGAGCCCCCGGTGGCGCAGTGGGTTAAAGCCCTGAGCTGGCAGGACTGAAGACCGACAGGTCGCAGGTTCGAATCCGGGGAGAGGCGGATGAGCTCCCTCTATCAGCTCCAGCTCCTCATGCGGGGACATGAGAGAAGCCTCCCACAAGGATGATAAAACATCAGAAATCATCCTGGCGTCCCCTGGGCAACGTCCTTGCAGACGGCCAATTCTCTCACAACAGGAGCTCCTGACACGACAAAAAAAAAAACTTTGCAAAATGACAATTCCCATGATTCCATAGCACTGAGCAATGGCAGTTAAAGCCATGTCAAATTGCAACAATTCTACAGTGTAGATGCACATTCATGCAGCTGGTAATACAGTGTTTGTTGAGCATTGAACAGGTGAATGCACACCATTTAATATCCTAACCAGTGTGTTCTCAACCTGGGGGTCGGGACCCCTGAGGGGGTCGCGAGGGGGTCTCAGAGGGGTCACCAAAGACCATCAAAAACCACAATATTTTCTGTTGGTCAAGGGGGTTCTATGTGGGAAGTTTGGCCGAATTCTATTGTTGACGGGATTCAGAATGCTCTTTCATTGTAAGTGAACAACAAATCCAGCAACTACGAAATGTCAATGTCGATTTTCCCCAAACAACACCAGTGTTCACATTTGGGCATATTGAGTATCTGTGCCAAGTTTGATCCAGATCCATCATTGTTTGAGTCCACAGTGCTCTCTGGATGTAGGTGAACTACAACTCCAAAACTCAAGGTCAATGCCCACCAAACCCTTCCAGTATTTTCTGTTGGTCATGGGAGTTCTGTGTGCCAACTTTGGTTCAATTCCATCATTGGTGGAGTTCAGAATGCTCTTTGATTGTAGGTGAACTATACATCCCAGTAACTACAACTCGCATGTGTCAAGGTCTATTTTCCCCCCAAGAGTGCCTCAAGAGCGCCCCTGGGCAAAATCAACTATACTGCAAATGCTTACTTTGCGTAATGGGTTGAGCCACCCCTGTATATATATATAAATCTCCCTCATTGTGCAGCTGGAATATCAGTGTTTTGTTGAGCATTGCAACATGAATGCATCACCATTTCAAACTTGGTAGGTCCTAACCCAGTGTTTCTCAACCTGAGGGTCGGGACCCCTGAGGGGGTCATGAGGGGTTGTCAGAGGGGTCACCAAAGACCATCAAAAAACACAATATTTTCTGTTGGGGGTTCTATGTGGGAAGTTTGGCCGAATTCTATCGTTGACGGGATTCAGAATGCTCTTTCATTGTAAGTCAACTATAACTCCCAGCAACTACCAACTCCCAAATGTCAATGTCTATTTTCCCCCTCCCCAAACTACGCCAGTGTTCACATTTAGGCATATTGATTATTTGCGCCAAGTTTGGGTCCACAGTACTTTCTGGATGTATGTGAACTACAACTCCCAAATTCTAGATCAATGCCCACCAAACCCTTCCAGTATTTTCTGTTAGTCACGGGAGTTCTGTGTCTCAATTTCATCCCAACAACTACAACTCCCAAATGTCAAGGTCTATTTTCCCCAAACTCCACCAGTGTTCACATTTGGGCATATTGAGTAGCCGTGCCAAGTTTGGTCCAGATCTATCATTGTTTGAGTCCACTGTGCTCTCTGGATGCAGGTGAACTACAACTCCAAAACTCAAGGTCAATGCCCACCAAACCCTTCCAGTATTTTCTGTTGGTCATGGGAGTTCTGTGCGCCAAGTTTGGTTCAATTCCATCATTGGTGGAGTTCAGAATGCTCTTTGATTGTAGGTGAACTATAAATCCCAGCAACTACAACTCCCAAATGACAAAATCAATTCTCCCTCCAACCCCACCAGTATTGAAATTTGGCATATTGGGTAAGGTAAGGTAAAAGTTTTCCCCTGACATTAAGTCCAGTCATGTGCAGTCCAAGACTGGGGGTTGGTGCTCAATTTCTAGGCCAAAGAGCTGGTGTTGTCCATAGACACCTCCAAGGCCGACATGACTGCATGGAGCTCCGTTATTGGGTATTTGTGCCAAATTTGGTCTAGTGAATGAAAATTCATCTTGCATTTCAGATATCTTCATTATGATTCATAACAGTAACACAATTACCGTTAGGAAGTAGCAACGATAATTATCTTATGGTTGGGGGTCACCACAACATGAGGCGCTGTATTAAGGGGTCGCGGCATTAGGAAGATTGAGAACCACGGTCCTAAACAAAGGATCCTGATACCTGGGTTGCCTCCCTTGTGTGGTAATGTCCTTAGACATGAAATCGATGCAGAAGAATATGGGGTTTTTTTGTGTCCTCGAAATATCTCTCGATTTGAAAACACCAAATGGGCACCTTTTAGCTCTTAGTATCTATTAGAAAAGAAGCCATATTTGGGGAGGGGGGGGTCTCGAGGGGAAGTGAAGGCAGGAAGAGGGGAGAGTTATGGCCAAGCTGGGGCTGTATGTCACCGCTGAGCCGACTTCCCTTTGCTGAAAGCCCTTCTCCCCAGGCTTTCTTCTCCTCCAGCCCCCCTTGATTTATTTATTTTTAAAAGCTGGATTTATGAGGAGTCACGAGTCTGATCGATGTCTTTGCCCTGGGATTTCCTCCTCACGGGAAGAATTATGCTTGTTCTCGGCTCTTCCAAAGCCCCTCGGATTTCAGGGCCTGATCTTCCCTAAGAGTGTAAATCTGCCACAGCGTGATGCTGACCTCTTTTTGGGAAGCAGCAATTGACCCCGGGATTAAGTGCCGCACCTGAACATTGCCTTCTGCGACGTCTGGTGTAGATCCAGCAATAAGAAGGAGGCTGATGGAGGGACGGGAGGAGAAGAAAGAAAGAGCAGCAGCCCGCCTTCTTTGTTTCTGGAGCACAAAAAGGGTCTGGGCTGGATTTCAGGCAAGGCGAAATACCCCAATGGCTCCAGTTCTTGTCTTGATATTGAAAGTTAAGAAGGTTAGGCCTTGGATGGCGACCTCCACTTGCTGGTTGGTGTGTTCCTCAATAGCAGAGTGGGGTCACCCTGGAATTGGAGCTGTTTCCACCGAAGTCTGGCCATCTTTGAATGGACGATGCCAGTCCTTGACTCCATAATATGATGGGGAATCATCACCATCAACCTCTTTCATCTCATTGAACGTCTCCTTTGGTGTGCGGCCTTTCAAGTCAAGGAAAATACTTGGAAGGGAGACGACCAGTGAAGCTAGAGGAGGAAATGGCGGACTATTCCTTGGTTAAGAAATCTGATGAAAACCATTGGTTTGTCTTGCAAATGGGCTTAAATATCCTCAAAGCACTTGAAGCTCAGGCGTTGGCAGTGGCTGAGAGGGCCTTCGCACAATTGAAGCTCATGCGCCAGCTGCGACCGTACCTTGTGAAGTTGGATTTGGCCACGTGGTCCACGCCTTAGTTACCTCTAGATTGGACTATTGCAATGCACTCTACGTGGGCTGCCCTTGAAGACGGGCTGAAAATTCCAATTGGTCCAACGGGTGGCAACCAGATTATTAACTGGTGAGAAGCCGAAGATCCGGCATTGTCCGTAGACACCTCCAAGGTCATGTGGCCGGCATGACTGCATGGAGCGCCATTACCTTCCCCCCGCAGTATCTATTGATCTACTCACATTTGCATGTTTTCAAACTGCTAGGTTGGCAGAAGCTGGGGATACCATCGGTTGCTCATGCCGCTCCCCAGATTTGAACCTGTGACCTTTCATTCAGCAAGTTAGCATCTCAGTGCTTTAACTTACTGCGTCATTGGGGGCTCATACCAACATATATTTCAGACACGGCATGGCCAGATCCATGTAAGTTTGAAACAGCCATTTCTTCTTGTTATTTGTTGCTCTGCTAACTCACTTTCCATCCAAAATTGCTCCCTTCCCTTCATCCCTCTCTTTCTATTATGCCTCCTTACTCTCTCTCTTTCTTGAGATCCCTCTTGGATCCCAACGAAAGAACTTAGGGTTATTTATTATTATTATTTACAGTTATTTGTATACCGCTTTTCTCAACCTGAGGGGGAATCAAAGCGGTTTACACATAAGTAATGGCAAAATTCAATGCCAGTACAAACAATTACAATTATACACTACAATTAGACATAAATCAAGTTAAAAACAATACATCCACAAGCAATAAAACAATCATTAAAGCATAGGTTGCCATAGGTCTGAAATGCTTTGAAGTTACACAACAACAACAGCAGCAACAACAACAACATTGATACTTTTTTTGGTTGGTTCCACCCCAGAGCCAAGAAAGGGCTAGAGCTGTTCAGGTAAATATGGGACAAACCTAATCAAGACCCACACCAGGGAGATAGCCATTGACTGCGTTTATTATTCAATCTGTTCCAAATGTTTCCAGTCGCCTGTCTTGCTGTGATAAGGAGTGACATTTTGCCCCGCTTTCCCTCCCCGTTCCCTTTCTCTCTCTCTTCCCGCAGGACCTGTTGTTCAGCGTCTGCGCTCTCAATATCATCTCGACCATTGTCTGCGCTTTGGCAACTGCCATGTGCTGCATGCAGATGGTCTCTTCTGACGTCCTGCAAATGGTGAGCGAATCCCAATGAGAGTGTGTCTAATTATATACCATCGTCTTGCGCCTCGCTGTATCCATGCGCTTGTGGCAAAGTGTCATTTTTGGAGAGCTTGGGAGGTATTCATCTTTGCAGTAATTTTGTCAGTAGGGTTGTAAATCTGATCCAAGTCTTGCACTTTAATGGAGCTGTCCAAGGTGCTGAAATCCATCCCGATACAAGATTCAGCACCTTGGATAGCTCTTTTCCAGATAGCTGTAAATGAACCTGAGATGCTCCTATTTTCCTTTGGAAATGACATCAGGTTGTTGTTGCCGTGCCTTCAGGGAGCTATGAGAGTGAAATAAAATTAGGGCGTTCCTCCCAAAAATAGGAAATTGACCTAAACATTAAGAATGGTTGACAGTGAACAAACAATGTTATTGCTCTTTTAATGTCCTTGATTTCAAAATATTGCCATTGATGTCTTTTGGGAGGGATCCATATCAGGAGGGTGTGTATCCTGAGCAAACATATGGGATGATAAGGACATATTTTGCATACGAGGGGTATTTTTTAAGTAAGGTCCATTTTGTTGTAGACACTAGTAGTTTGCGCGCATACCGCAACGAGCGCGTGCGTTGTGTACTGGCATGCCTCGGGAACAACTGTGCTCAGTTTCCGCTCTGTAGCTAACCTGTACGGTTCTGTTCTGTGCTTTAAAAATGTTTTAAGACTATCAACCCGTGTACCGGCATGCCTCAGGAACAACTGTGCTCAGTTTCCGCTCTGTAGCTAACCTGTACGGTTCTGTTCTGTGCTTTAAAAATGTTTAAGACTATCAACTCACCCTGCCGCATGTGAGGTTCGCTCAGTGATACGGTTTTTGTCAGCAAGGAACCTGCCTGCTGCAGAAATTCATCGACAGATTTGTGAAGTGTACGGTGATACTGTTATGAGTGAAAGCAAAGTGCGTAAGTGGGTACGACAATTCAAAGATGGCCATGACAACGTCCATGATGAGGACCGCGGTCGCCCTTCTTTGATTACAGACGATTTGGTGGCTTCAGTTGAAGTGAGGATTTGTGAGAACAGGCGCTTCACAATAACAGGTCTCTCAAACGAATTTCCTGACGTGTCGAGATCAGTGCTTTACAACATTTCTTCTGAACACCTAAAGTTTAGGAAACTCTGCTCCCTTTGGGTCCCGAAACTCCTAACAGAGGACCACAAAAACCAAAGATTTGAGTGTGCGATCAAATCAAATCGTCTGTAATCAAAGAAGGGTGACCGGAGCGGTCCTCATCATGGACGTTGTCACAGCCATCTTTGAATTGTCATACCCACTTACGCACTTTGCTTTCACTCATAACAGTCACCGTACACTTCACAAATCTGTCGATGAATTTCTGCAGCAGGCAGGTTCCTTGCTGACAAAAACCGTATCACTGAGCGAACCTCACATGCGGAGGGTGAGTTGATAGTCTTAAACATTTTTAAAGCACAGAACAGAACCGTACAGGTGAGCTACAGAGCGGAAACTGAGCACAGTTGTTCCCGAGGCATGCCGGTACATAATGCACACGCTCGTTGCGGTATGCGCGCAAACTACTAGTGTCTACAACAAAACGGACCTTACTTAAAAAATACCCCCTCATATATTATCTCCATAACTTAGTTTTGTCATTGTCTAACGTTTGGTGCTGTCTTTATTATTTTTTGCTGTGGATGTTGGGTATGATTTGCGATTTGGATGGTTTTGATTACACTAGAGCAGGGGGCCTCAGACTAAGGTGAAAGCTCTGGATACGGCCCTTCAAGGCCATTTACCAGCCCTCGCTCAGGGTCAACCTAAGTCTGGAACTATTTGAAAGCACACAACAGCAACAACAAAAATATTTTCTTGTCAGCCAAAAGCATGTCTATTCTTCCCAATTAAATACTAATAAGTTTATATGTGTTTAATGTATTGTCGAAAGTTTTCATGGCTGGAATCATTGGGTTGTTGTAGATTTTTTCGGGCTATATGGCCATGTCCTAGAGGCATTCTCTCCTGACATTTCGCTTTATAAACAGCCGTTTCACTTTATAAATAGACAATAGCATTATAAACAGACACCTTGGTTTCCCTACGTATGTCCCAGTCCTCAAACACATTTAGTTTGTGTTGTTTTATTGTATCCTTATGTTTTTATTAATTTAATTGTATTTTGCATATTGTTGTCTTGGTTTTATTTTACTGTAATGTATTGTTGGGCTTGGCTTCATGTAAGCCACCCCGAGTCCCCTTTGGGGAGATGGCGGCGGGGTATTATTATTATCTATATATATAAGGAAATGCTCTGTGCGTAATGAGTACATTAAAAACAAAAGAACCAATGAATGAAATCACACCAAATTTGGCAACAAAACGTCTCACAACACAAGGAGTGACCATCACTCAAAAAATTATGATTTTGTCATTTGGGAGTTGTAGTTGCTGGGATTTATAGTTTGCCTATAATCAAAGAGCATTCTGAACTCCAGCAATGATAGAATTGAACCAAACTTGCCACACAGGACTCCCTTGACCATCAGAAAACACTAGAAGGGTTTGGTGGGCATTGACTTTGAGTTTTGGAGTTGTAATTCACCTACATCTAGAGAGCGCTGTGGACTCAAACAATGATGGATGTGGACCAAACTTGGCACGAATATTCAATATGCCCAAATATAAACACAGATGGAGTTTAGGGGAAATAGACCTTGACATTTGGAAGTTGTAGTTACTGGGATTTATAGTTCCCCTATAATCAAGGAGCATTCTGAACCCCACTAATGACAGAATTTGGGCAAACTTCCCACACAGAACCCTCATGACCAACAGAAAATACTGTGTTTTCTGGTGGTCTTTGGTGACCTTTCTGACTTTCTGACTTCCCAGGTTGAGAAATGCAGCCTTAAGGCCATCTAGTCCAACTCCCTTCACCAGGGCAAGAAAAGATAATCAAAGCCCTCCTGACAAAGGGCCATCCAGCCATTCACACACACACACATATGTGTATATGACAGATGCAGTATCAAAGATTTGAAAGGGACCCCTAAAGAAGGACAATGATATGTTGCATGTTCCAGAGTAGGCAAACCAGACAATCTCCACATCAACACTAACAAAGAAACAGCAAAAAAAAAAAAACTGTTTACCCACATGCAGAAAAATTACATATATTAGAAACCAACACTTTCTCATTACTTTATTTTCCAGATCAACAGACTGGGCCACAGCAATGCATGGCAGGGAACCACTTATTATTATTATTATTATTATTATTATTATTATTATTATTATTATTTAATTAGTTCCCCTTGTTGCCTGTTTTGGGTTGCTGGGTTGCTGAAGCCTAAAAGGTCACATTTCTAGGCCCTTTGGGGTTGCAGACATTGGTCTGAAAGAATGATTCCAGTTGAAAGGTTGAATATTAATAAAACATTGCAATACGGGGTTCAAGGGACACGTATCCACAGACGGGACTTTCCCCTTTCTCTCCTTCTTGAGTCTTCTCTCTTTTGGTTCAGCTGGAAATAATCTTCATTGGCCTCCATCTTCCCCTCGGTAGGGAATGGAGAGGGACTTTCCTTTTAATTTCTCCTCCGTTGTCTCCGATTTAAGTCTTTCCTTCTCTGAACAGCGGCAGGGAGATGGCAGAAGACTGATGGCTTTGTTAACAATGAAACGTGTCTCAATGACAGCTACACAAAAAGAACCGCTCCATACAAGAGAAGTCCCAAATTCCAAGGGGATTCCCTCATCAGGAGTGTTTTCCCTTCTTCATTTGCCTTGTCTATCAAGTTTAATAAGGACACGTTTGCTGCTTCAGAGCTAATTATCGTCACGGCTGTGTTTCTGAGCCCCGAGCTTGAAGCTTCATCTCTTTGGGGGCAGCCCTAGAAATGCAATACCTTCGTGCTCTTCTTTCCTTGCTGGGAGGGGAACACCACCAAACGGAGTAGAAGCGTATCTGTTCTGTACGCAGGAAAGAGACAAAGGCTTTGACTGCTTAAGGCCTTTCTCTGTGTGCAAAACCAAGCAGGTTCTCAACATTCATGTTCAGCTGGGTGCTCTCTGAAGCTCTAGGTGTTCTTACTGCCTCTTACAGGGAAAACCAGCTGATCCCCAACCCATCTAAAACACAGACATGTGCCTTTCATCTCAAGAACAGAGAAGCATCCCGAGCTCTGAGGATTACCTGGGAAGGAATCCCACTGGAGCATTGCAGCGCACCCAAATACCTGGGAGTCACTCTGGACCGTGCTCTGACCTACAAGAAGCACTGCCTGAACATCAAGCAAAAAGGGGGTGCTAGAAACAATATCATACGAAAGCTGTCTTCATTTTGCACCTCATCCTCATTGACATCCAAGACATGCTCAGAGACATTAGAAGGGGAAAACACTATAACAGATTCAGGGTGAAACACAGGCTGAGTCCCAACACCTTGTTTCAATACAAAGAGATACACAAACTAAGGCAAAGGCTTCTCCTTTCATTTCTGGCTTCTCAAGGAGCTCATTTTTGGCTCTGAGGGAAGTGCTGTTCTCCATTTCCAAGCCAAGGAGCCTGCATTGTCACCTCCTAGTGATGTGACTGGTATGACTCCTTGGAAAGTCTTATGCCTTTCCCGCCAAAGCGGTACCTATTGTGCTACTCCCATTTGCATGTTTTTGAACTGCTAGGTGTGAAAAGCGGTATACAAACACTGTAAATAAATAAATAAATAAATAATAGGTTTGCAGGACCTAGGCTAACAGCAGGAACTCACCCCGTCCCGCAGATTCAAACTGCTGACCTATATCTGTTCCTGGTTTGAAAGTGTTGTTTCCTTTTTAATTGGGTGCTCCTTACTTTGAAAGCAGTTGTTCTACTCCAGAAACTTTGCTTATATGGCTACCACAAACTGCCTTGATTTGGTTGAGACTCTATGAGAATCCCCAGATTATTCCAAGGCGAAAAGCACTGTATGATTAAAGCAAAGGAAAAATGGGTTGCATGTGGTCGCTCTCACCTTCCTTGAGGAAGAAAAAAATATGGCTGGCTATTAAAAAGGGAAAAGTATTTCATGAGATTAAGGAGGAAGCAGCAGGAGCAACTGCCATCCGCACCCTCCGATTTCACTCCCGCTTTGAGGACTGTGAAATTAAATCCCCATCAAGGCATTAGGAGAATTATAAATTCTGTGCACCAGGAGGCTCTGGATCTCTGCTGAAGATATATGTCCTGAATGCAAAATACCATCTCAAGAAAGTAAGTTAGAAGTCCAATTATTTCAGGGAAGCAAAGAGGCTCATCTAGACTGCCGAATGCATGCAGTTTGACAGCGCTTTAACTGTTGTGGCTCCATGCTATGGGATCTGGGAGATAATAATAATAATAATAATAATAATAATAATAATAATAACAACAACAACAACAACAATAACAATAATAATAAAACTTTATTTATACCCCACTACCATCTCCCAAGGGACTCGGTGCGGCTTACATGAGGCCGAGCCCACAATACATCAATAATAAAGCAATGACAACAAATAATACAAAACCATAAAATAAAACTCATAACAAAAATAAGCAATAAACATTAACTACTGTTAATGTTTATTGCTTATTTTTGTTATGAGTTTAAAACCTATGGCTGGGCCAAATGTAATAATTAAAATTTAAAGATAATGCTGAGCATGAACAGATGAAATATGAACCAGGATAGAGTTTCTGGAACTCACTCCCCAGAGACATTAGACAAGCCCCCACACAAGCCTTCCCAGAATAAGGAAACTCCCAGATGGGTTGGTTGGTGACTGCTGGAACAGCACTTTGGTTTTCTCGATGTTCAATGACACGCCGAGCTTCTCATATGCTTCTGTGAAGGTGTTTAGAGTGGCTTCTTCTGATTGTGCACAGATGACGTTGTCATCAGCATATTGGAGTTCTATAACAGATGTTGTTGTAACCTTGGTTTTAGCAAAGTGGAATCAAATGGCACTCATCTCTCAGTGTACATGAACCTTACCCTTCCTAATGCCCTCTTCACCTCTCTTGTCCCTATGGTACAGTTTCTGCCCCAGAGATCTCATTCTGCCAATCCGGACTGCATGACCCCGCACGGGACAATCCTGCACCAGACCCTGGATTTTGACGAATTCATTCCGCCGATTCCGCCTCCGCCGTACTACCCGCCCGAGTACACCTGCACCCCTGTGATCGAAGCACAAAGGTGAGTCTTTTTCTATAGCTGGTTCATTCTCGCAAGTGCAGAAAACATGGCAGGGAAGCCTCCACGGAGGGAAGTTGTTGTTTGGTAGGGTCTTCTCGTCCAAAGAAATCCTCAACAAGTGGCGTCAAACAACATCCATTCTACAGGATAGGTGCTCACCAAAATTATTTATCTATCTATTTATTTATTTATTTATTTACAGTATTTCTATTCCGCCCTTCTCACCCCGCAGGAGACTCATGTACATATATACATGGCAAACATTCAATGCCATAGACACACAACATATATAGACAGACACACAGAGGCTACTTAACATTCCAGCTTTCATAAGAGCATTCTGGCCACCAGGGGAGCTGTCGCTTCATCGACCATTTGTGACACTGATGAAGTACTTCCTCATTCTTTGCATGCTTGCTGGAGATTTTTATGGCATTGTAAATTAGCTTCCCAGCATAATCGGTACCTAAATTTCCTACTTGACAGATGTATCTGAATTTCAGACTGCAAAGGTTGACAGCAAGCTACACAAATTGGTCAGGAGCTCATTCCGACCCGGGCTGGCTTCGAACTCATGGCCTTTTGGTCAGTGGTGATCTTAATGCAGCTGACTCCCAGCCAACTGCGCCACAGTCCCGGTGCATGAAGTTAGCCCCAACTAAACCGCCTTAAGTCGCCTCCAGGCTGAGAGGAGTGGTATACAAATACAGCAAATAAATAAATAAATATTTTCAGACTGTCTGACCATGTTCCAGAAGCATTCTATCCTGACGTTTTGCCCGCATCTATGGCAGGCATCCTCAAAAGCTGATTGAAGTTGCAAGACTATTCAATGCTAATCAAGGTGATCAATCGTAATGTTCACACTTGCCTCAAGCAGACAAGAGTTCTTTCTCCCACCCTGGACATTTCACAGATATATAAACCCCACTTGCCAAGTTTCCATTAGACCTCACAATCTCTGAGGATGCCTGCCATAGATGTGGGCGAAATGTCAGAAGAGAATGTCAGTATGTCACACATTCCAATGACATGGATTTCAGATAACGAACTGCTGGGCATTCTCTTCCAACCATGCCAGAGAAGAAGCAAGACGCCTGAGGGACTTCTTCTGTACATAAGTTATGTTTATTGTTTTTGTAGCTTTTGGAAAGTAACTAAATAAATGTGCCACTTCAAGGCTTTGAAGTTGACAAAGGCTGCGTACTTTACTTTACCCTGTGTTGCTCTGAGGCCGGATTTGCCGACAGAGAAGGCTTATGGAACATGGCCATAGAACACCTCCCAACAAAGGATCCCCAGGCAGGAAGCAGCCAGGCTTTGAAGCTGCAAGGCTATTTAGTGCTAATCAAGGTGTTCAATTGCAATTTCACACTTGAGGAGAGAATGCTTCTGGGACTTGGCCATACAGTCGGAAAACTCACAGCAACCCAAATAATATTTTGATTTTTTATTTCAGTCTAATCAGTGGACTATATTGGGGTGCACTGGCCTGATGAACATGATCTGAAGCTACATGGCATCATTTGTGGGATCAGTTGGTGTTGTTTTGCCCTCCCTGTGGGGACATGGCAGAAACATTGCATTTTTCAAACGTTCAAGAGCCATATTTAAGAATGTGAGAATCTGGGTCTTTGAGGAGCTTATTGCCTATTACAGGGAAAATCAGCTGATCCCTAATCCATCTAAAACACAGACAAGTACTTTTCATCTCAAGAACAGACAAGCATCCCAAGCTCTGAGGATCACCTGGGAAGGAATCCCACTGGAGCATTGCAGCGCACCCAAATACCTGGGAGTCACTCTGGACCGTGCTTTGACCTACAAGAAGCACTGCCTGAACATCAAGCAAAAAGTGGCCGCTAGAAACAATATCATACGAAAGCTGACTGGGACAACCTGGGGATCACCAGACACAGTGAAGACATCTGCCCTTGCGCTGTGCTACTCTGCTGCTGAGTATGCATGCCCAGTGTGGAACACATCTCACCACACTAAAACAGTGGATGTGGCTCTTAATGAGACATGCCGCATTATCACGTGGTGTCTGCGCCATACACCACTGGGGAAATTACACTGTTTAGCTGGTATTGCACCACCTGACATCCGCTGGGAAGAAGCAGCCAATAGTGAAAGGACCAAGGCAGAGACATCTCCAGCTCATCCCCTGTTTGGGTATCAGCCAGCACATCAATGCCTTAAATCAAGAAATAGTTTTCTAAGATCTACAGAGGCACTCGCTAGAACACCTCAGCAAGCGAGAGTCCAAAAGTGGCAGGCTCAAACCCAGAACCTCAATCAACCCAGATACCAAATGAGAGACTCCCCTCTGGGCACACAGAAAACTGGGTGACTTGGAAGGTACTGAACAGACTGCGCTCTAGCACCACGAGATGCAGAGCCCACCTTAAGAAATGGGGCCACAAAGTAGAATCCACGACATGCAAATGTGGAGAAGAGCAAACCACTGACCACCTGCTGCAATGCAACCTGAGCCCTGCCACATGCACAATGGAGGACCTTCTTGCAGCAACACCAGGGGCACTCCAAGTGGCCAGATCAAAGGACATTTAATCAACTACCAAGCTTGCAAACTCTGTGTCTTTTGTATGTTTATTTGTTTGTTTTGTAAAAAAGGTAATACAAATGTCTGGTTGCTCCTGACACAATAAAATAAAAAAATGAAAAAATGAAAAATAAAAGCAGGGATTCAAGGGCCACACTTTTGATTTCTAAGAGCTGTACTTTTCCCACCTTTGCCATAAAGCGTGATGCTGCCACTGTCCATAGCTTGGTCTGTAATCTTTTCTTGTCTTTTTCAGAGGGCTCCACTTGGACTTTTCACACTCGCCCTTCAATACTTTGTACGAAGTGTCCATCAACAGCCCTGGAATCCTTTATCCAGCCGAATTGCCTCCTCCTTATGAAGCGGTCATTGGGCAGGCAACAGGGAACCAGGTGAGAAACGCAATGAATCATAGAATCCTAGAGTTGGAAGAGACCTCATGGGCCACCAAGTCAGCAAATGTTGACAGATGTAAACAAATGTAAACATTTCTCTTATCACTGTCACAGTTCTTATCACAATTTACCATGCCAGTTCAACCATTTCAATTCTCATTAGCAACTTTTAATTACAGTCAGCAAGCAGGTAGTTAATGATTTCGTCATTGCAGGCCTCAATATTTTTGAATGGTGTCTCCAAAATTATTAGCTATGTTTCATTCATTTTCCATACAATTCAATTCATACCCACACATATCAAATCATAGAATCATAGAGTTGGAAGAGACCTCATGGGCCACCCAGTCCAACCCCATTCTGCCAAGAAGCAGGAAAATTGCATTCAAATCACCCCTGACAGATGGCCATCCAGCCTCTGTTTAAAACCTTCCAAAGAAGGAGCCTCCACCACACTCCAGGGCAGAGAGTTCCACAGCCTTCTCTGGAGACATTAGCAAGGAGATGTGAATTGGATAATGGTTTCCAGCAGCTCTGTAGGCTTGTAATTGCAACTATTAAAGGGTCTCCTTAGTTTATTAAGAGGCCGCAGACCTTTGTTTTTGTTGTCTTGGCTGCTGCTGCCTCGAGAGCATGCATGTGCTGTCACGCGCTGGGCCTATAGCAATTGGCTTTTGAACAGGACGTGCTCTTTGTGCCCAGCAGGAAGCTGGGGTGCCTCAAGTGAGAGGCCCTAAAGATTTTCCTATACAGAGTCTTTAAAAGCTTGAAAAGTTTAACAAAGCCCTTTATTATTGCTTAGGTCTTCAACAAAACAATCAAATACTTCTCAGATCTTCAACAGGTCAAACAAATACTTCAAGGCTTTGAATCAACTGGTAGCTTTCTTAATCTTGTCCACAGGGGACAGGCAACTGGCTTTGTGAACTGTTTTTTTTTCTTTAAGAGGAAAACCCTTTTTAACCCCTCCTTGGGTGATCTACTTTCTAAACTTTGCTGGTGTGGGCTCTACTCCCGGCTCCAAACTGCTTCTTGGGTCCCGAGTAGACCTACCAGTCAAGGATTTGTAGATTCTCCAGCTGGAGTCCTTTGGAACTATTTTTTCCTGGAATTTCTGGTGAAACAAAGCTTCTCTACAGGTGGAGCTGATTCACGTCCTGTAGCTAAGCTTTCAACTGTAAGACTGAGCCAAAATGGCTCCCTTTCCTTCCTGAACCCTGGGGAAAGGGGCGGAACTAAAAAAAAACCAACGTTGATATGCAGGTGGCTGCAAACCAAGGGAAGCCACCTTATTACAAAATGCATAAACTTTGGAATACATGCAAACACTCAAAGAAAGAAAGGGAAGTTGGAGCTCCTGGTACAGCCATACCAGCACAATGCATATGGGCATCACTGAAGTTCCTTTTGGTGTAGATCACTGTTTCTCAATCTTTCTAATGCCGCGACCCCTTAATACAGTTCCTCATGTTGTGTTGACCCCAAACCATAAAATTATTTTTGTTGCTACTTCATAACTATAATTTTGCTCCTGTTATGAATTGTCATGTGAATATCTGATATGCAGGATGGATTTTCATTCACTGGACCAAATTTGGCACAAATACCCAATATGCCCAGTTTGATACTGGTGGGGTTGGAGGGAGAATTGATTTTGTCATTTGGGAGTTGTAGTTGCAGGGATTTATAGTTCACCTACAATCAAAAAGCATTCTGAACTCCACCAACGATGGAATTGAACCCAACTTGGGACACAGAACTTCCATGACCAACAGAAAATACCGAAATGGTTTGGTGGGCATTGACCTTGAGTTTTGGAGTTGTAGTTCACCTACATCCAGAGAGCACTGTGGACTCAAACAATGATGGATCAGGACCAAACTCTACGCGAATACTCAATATTCCCAAATGTGAACACTGGTGGAGTTTGGGGAAAATAGACATTTGGGAGTTATAGTAGTTATAGTTGCCGGGATTTATACTTCACCTACAATCCAAAAGAGCATTCTGAACCCCACCAATGATAGAATTGGGCCAAACTTCCCAGGCAGAACCTCTATGACCAACAGAAAATAATGGAAGAGTTTGGTGGGCATTCACCTTGAGTTTTGGAATTGTAGTTCACCTCCATCCAAAGAGGACTGTGGACTCAAACAATGATGGATCTGGACCAAATTTGGTATGATGAATACCCAATATGCTCATATGAGAAAACTGATGGAGTTTGGGGAAAATAGACCTTGACATTTGGGAATTGTTGCTCGGATTTATAGTTCACTTACAATCAAAGAGCATTGTGAACCCCACCAACAATTGAATTGGGCCAGACTTCCCATACAGAATCCTATGACCAACAGAAAATACTGAAAGGGTTTGGTGAGCATTGATGTTGGGAGTTGTAGTTGCTAGGATTTATAGTTCACCTACAATCAAAGAGCATTCTGAACTCCACCAATGATAGAATTGAGCCCAACTTGGGACACAGAACACCCATGACCAACAAAAACTACCAAAAGGGTTTGGTGGGCACTGACGTTGAGTTTAGGAGTTGTAGTTCACCTACATCCAGAGAGCACTGTGGACTCAAACAATGGTGGATCTGGACCAAACGTGGTGCAAATTCTCAATATGCCCAAATGTGAACACTGGTGGATTTTGGGGGAAACAACCCTTGACATTTGGGAGTTGTAGTTGTTGGGGTTCACTTACAATCAAAGAACATTCTGAACCCCACCAACTGAATTGGGCCAGACTTTTTGCACAAATCGCCCATGAACAACAGAAAATACTGTGTTTTCTGATGGTCTTTGGAGACCTCTCTGACACCCCCCTTGCAACCCCTGCAGGGGTCCCGACCCCCAGGTTGAGGAACACTGTTGTAGATGAAGCTCCTTTAATCAGTTTCTCTAAGACAGGCATGGCAACCTTTGACCCTCCCTCCAGGTGTTTTGGACTTCAACTCCCACAATTCCTAACAGCCGGTAGGCTGTTAGGAATTGTGGGAGTTGAAGTCCAAAACACCTGGAGGGAGGGCCAAAGTTTGCCCATGTCCCTGCATGCAGAGACTCACACACATTCACCTTGAACATTTCCTCTGCTGCTTATAGAGAAACCAACCTGGACCCAAATACTCTTAAGATATATATTTTGTAAAGTAGCCTTCAAATCTCGGTCCCACCATTAAGCTTTTTGACCAATTAAACCAATTATGCTTTTTCCAGCCATGAAAATTGGCACTTTTAAAAATAGCCGGTAATCCCCATGAAGGGAACTACAGTGGTGACTTCTAAGAATCGTGCATTAAATGCCAATTTTAAGTTACTGCAGTATAGACTGGCGAAGTCTTGGGCTGGCTCTGTCCTCATCCAGAGGCAGGGAATGGCCTCTGGCTGCAGGCACTATGGGTCAGCAACAACTTCCCTTTGGATTTCTTCACCTTTGAAGGACAGATTTGGGTGCACGGCTCATGGTAGCTGGACTCCACCTCTGATTAATTCTGTGCCTTTCCTGCATGGCAGGGCATTGGACTAGATGCCCATGTGGTCTCTTCAAACACTATTATTCTATGATTCTAATCTATATATATATAAATGCTCTGTGCGTAATGAGTACCTTAAAAACAAAAGAACCAATGAATGAAATCACACCAAATTTGGCAACAAAACGTCTCACAACACAAGGAGTGACCATCACTCAAAAAATTATGATTTTGTCATTTGGGAGTTGTAGTTGCTGGGATTTATAGTTCACCTACAATCAAAGAGCATTCTGAACTCTATCAACGATGGAATTGAACCAAACTTGGCACACAGAACTCCCATGACCAACAGAAAATACTGGAAGGGTTTGGTGGGCATTGACCTTGAGTTTGGGAGTTGTAGTTCACCTACATCCAGAGAGCACTGTGGACTCAAACAATAATGGATCTGGACCAAACTCTACACTAATACTCAATATGCCCAAATGTGAACACTGGAGAATAGAATCTTGACATTTGGGAGTTGCAGTTGCTGGGATTTATAGTTCACCTAGAATCACAGAGCATTCTGAACCCCACCAACAATCGAATTGGGCCAAACCTCCCACACAGAACCCCAATGACCACCAGAGTGGGCCACAGCAATGTGTGGCAGGGGATGGCTAGTTCATCTATAGCAGTGTTTCTCAACCTGGGGGTTGGGACCCCTGGGAGGGGGTCGCAAGGGGGCGTCAGAGGGGTCGCCGAAGACCATCAGAATGCTCTTTGATTGTAGGTGAACTATAAATCTCAGCAATTACAACTCCCAAATGTCAAGGTCTATTTCCCTCAAACTCCGCCAGAGTTCACATTTGAACATACTGAATTTTCATGCCAAGTTTGGTCCAGATTGATCATTGTTTGAGTCAAGTGTAGGTGAGTAGGTGAACGACAACTCCCAAACTCAAGGTCAATGCCCACCAAACCGTTCCAGCATTTTCTGTTGGTCATAGGAATTCTATGTGCCAAGTCTGGTTCAATTCCATTGTTGGTGGAGTTCAGAATGCTCTTTGATTGTAGGTGAACTATAAATCCCAGCAACTACAACTCCCAAATGACAAAATCAATCCCCCCAACCCCACCCCACCAGTATTCAAATTTGGGTGTATCGGGTATCTGTGCCAAATTTGGTCCAGTGAATGAAAATACGTCCTGCAGATCAGATATTTACATTACGATTCATAACGGTAGCAAAATTACAGTTATGAAATAGCAACAAAAATAAAAATGTTATGATTGGGGGGTCACCACAGCATGAGGAACTGTATTAAGGGGTCACAGCATTAGGAAGGTTGAGAAACACTGATCTATAGGGAAGGTGGAGCCCCCAGTGGCGCAGTGGGTTAAAGCGCTGAAATTTTATTAAATTTTATATAGAATACAACGAAAGAGTGAGAACAATAAGATGTAGAAAAGTAAAGAAAAAAAGAGAGAGGGGAAGGCCAATAAAGTAAGAAATAGAAAAGATATCCTAAATAAAACCCTAAAAAAAAAACACTACAATACATCCACACACACACACAAAAAAAAAGCTTGCTGAGCTTGTTGACTGAAAGGTCACAGGTTCAATTCCAGGGAGCAGTGTGAGCTTCCGCTGTCAGCCCCAGAAAACATGCAAATGTGAGTAGATCAATAGGTGGGAAGGTAACGGCGCTCCACGCAGTCATGCCGGCCACATGACCTTGGAGGTGTCTACGGACAATGCCGGCTCTTTAGATTAGAAATGGAGATGAGCACCACACCCCAGAGTCGGACACGACTGGACTTCATGTCAGGGGAAATCTTTACCTTTTATAGGGAAGGTGGACAAGTTAAACATGAGCCAAAAATGTAATGGGGCGGCAAAAAAAGCCAATACGATTTTGTCCTGCTTCAGATACAGGGAAGACATGCTCCCCATGCTCTATTCTGCTTTGGTTAGACCGCACCTGGAATATTGTGTCCAATCCTGGGCACCACAATTGAAGAGAGATATTGACAAGCTGGAAAGTGTCCAGAGGAGGGTGACTAAAATGATCAAGGGTCTGGAGAACAAGCCCTATGAGGAATGGCTTGAAGAGCTGGGCATGTTTAGCCTGAAGAAGAGAAGTATGTATAAATACGTGAGCCATGTATAAATACATGAGCTCCCGACCATTAATAGTCTATCTTTCTGTTGACCTATGCAACCCAAAAGACACACCTGGAATACTGTGTCGAATTCTGGGCAGCACAAATTTGTTAAATTAGCCTCCCCACACATAGGTGGTACCTAAATTTCCTACTTGACAGATGCAACTGTCTTTTGGGTTGCAAAGGTCAACAGCAAGCTCAACAATTTGGCCGGAAGCTCACTCCCACCCGGGCTGGCTTCGAACTCATGACCTTTCGGTCAGTAGTGATCTTAATGCAGCTGACACCCAGCTAGCTGCACCACAGTCCCGGTGCAAAAAAATAAATGTACCGGATTTACTCAAATCTAATGCTCACCTTTTTTGGGAGAATGACTTTACCAAAACTGGCGTGCGCATTAGATTCGTGTCGTAGTGCTGAGCTAAAGCCAAAGGCTTTTTTTGTTTCTAAAATAAAGTTTTCAATTTGGTTTTTCAGTATATCGCTGTAACTATTTATGTCTTCTTTATAGGTCACCGCTATGGAGCAGCAGGTGATTGAATCCAGCATATTGGAGAGGAACCCGACAACCGACTTCAGCAGCCAAGGTTTGTCCATTTGTTGCAATGTCCATATCATATCCAATTCAGACCGAAAGCCCACTTCGTCGGCATGAAAGCTATCAGCTGCCATTGACTCTGCTGACAGGAGTCTTTCAGAGACAGCCAGGAAGCCTGATCTGTCACATTACATCTGCAACAACCCCTTCGCACATGCGAGGCATCAGTCGCGCTCTCATGCACCAAAGGGTGAGCGTAATGTACATGAACCGGCTCTGAGTGAGTCTGGTGTTTTGGAGCTGTGGTCCAACCTTCATGTCTTTCCTTGATAGAACCGGGCAAAGAAAAAATGCAACGTTTCCTTTAGGGTTATGCTTCTAATAATAATAATAATCATCATCATCATCATTATTTAATACCCCACCACCATCTCTCCAATGGGGACTCGGGGCGGCTTACATGAGGGGGCCACAGAGGAGAAGGCTCTCTCCCTTGTACTTACAAAATGAGCCTGTGATAATGGCAAGGGTGAAAGGAGAGCCTCCCCCGAGGATCTAAGAGCTCGGGCTGGTTCATGGAGAGAGATCCGGTCATGAAGTGGGTCCCAAACCGTTTAGGGCTTTGTAGGTGATAACCTGCACCTTGAATTGGGACCAGAAGACAAACGGCAGCCAGTGAAGCTCCTTAAACAGGGGAGTTGACTTTTCCCAGTAATTCGCCCCAGTTATTAATCTGGCTGCTGCACGTTGAACGAGTTTTAATTTCCGGGCCGTCTTCAAGGGTAGACCCACATAGAGTGCATTGCAGTAATCCAGTCTAGAGGTAACTAAGGCATGGACCACCATGGTCACGTCAGACTTCATGAGGTATGGTCGTAGTTGGTGCACGGGTTTTAATTGTGCCAAGGCTCTCCTGGCCACCGCCGACACCTGCGCATCCAGGAGGACCCCCAAACTACGGACCTGTGACTTCAAGGGGAGTGCAACCCCGTCCAGTATAGGTTGCCACCCAATACCCCAGTCAGACAAGCAACTGACCTGGAGGACCTCTGTCTTGTCAGGATTGATCTGCAGCATGTTCGTCCTCATCCAGATCGTCACAGCGGTCAGGCACTGGTCCAGTATCCGAGGGGCTTCCTTGGAATCTGGTGGAAATGAGTAGTGGAGTTGTGTGTCATCTGCGTAGAGATGGCACCGTACTCCAAAACTCCGGATGACCTCTACCAGAGGTTTCATGTAGATGTTGAATAGCATGGGGGACAGAATAGAACCTTGCGGGACCTCACAGGTCAATGGCCAGGGGTCCAAGCAGGAGTCCCCCAGCTTCACCAACTGGGAATGACCCTCCAGTAAAACCGTGCCCCCAAGTCCCATCCCAGCAAGTTTTCCCAGAAGGATACCATGGTCGATGGTATCGAAAGCCACTGAGATATCCAAGAGAATGAGCAGGGTCACACTCCAATAGAGTGGGAGTATTAAGGGGTCGTGGCATTAGAAAGGTTGAGAAATATTCTAATAGAGTGTTTCTCAACCTTCCTAATGCCACGACCCCTTAGTGTAGTTCCCCATGTTATGATGACCCCCCAACCATAAAACTATTTCCATTGCTACTTCATAACTGTAATTTTGCTACTGTTCTAAATCACGATGTAAATATCTGATATGCAGGAATGGTGGGAGTTGAAGTCCAAAACACCTGGAAGGAGGGTCCAAGTATGCCCATGCCCGTTCTATACTATAAGAGTCAATGTATGTAGGTTTTTGTTTGCGTGTTTGTCCCACAAAGGCTCCTCCATGGCTGGAGGGATCTGGACCAAACTTGGCACACAGACCCTTCATTTCCCAACTTACAAAATCCACCCCCATTTCTGGGGAAAAAGTTACAAAAATATGCAATCTACAGATAGAAAGAATTAGCAACAGGCCTGTAGATATGTATGCAGTGCTTAGGTGCAACCACAAGAAGACAGTGTTTAGAAAGAAAAGATTAGATGGCACTCTGCATTATACATATGGCCTTAAGTATTTTTGGTTGGTCATGGGGGTTCTGTGTGGGAAGTTTGCCCCATTTCTGTCATTGGTGGGATTCAGAATGCTCTTTTATTGTAGGTGAACTATAAATCCCAATAACTACAACTCCCAAATATCAAGGTCCCCGAAGTTCCATCTGTGTTCATATTTGGGCATATGGAATATTCGTGCCAAGTTTGGTCCCAATCCATCATTGTTCGAGCCCACAGTGCTCTTTGGATGTAGGTGAACTACAACTCCCAAACTCAAGGTAAATGTCCACTAAACCCTTCTAGTGTTTTCTGTTGATCATGGGAGTTCTGTGTCCCAAGATTGGTTCAACTCCATCATTGGGGGAGTGGAGAATGCTCTTTGATTGTAGGTGTACTATAAATCCCAGCAACTACAACTTCCAAAAGACAAAATCAATTTTTTTAATTGATGGTCATTCCTTGGGTTGTGGCCAAATTTGGCAGCATTTTGTCCAGTGGTTTTTGAGTTGTGTTAATCCCACAAACAAACATTACATTTTTATTTATATAGATGATGATGATGATGATGATGATGATGATGATGATGATGATTATATACATATGGCATTGCAGTAATATTCCCTGTTATAATCTGTTTTCCAGCCTTGGTGGACGGTCCATCCCAGATGGCTTCCGAAGTGGCAGATCTCCCCAACAGCCACACATACTCCTCCGGTGACCTCTGCGCCCTGGAGCTCCAGGAGCCCTCCTTCTTTTCCGCAGACCTCTCTGCCTACACGACCCCCCTCAAAGGAGCCACAAATAGGAGTTGCTCCAGTCTGGACTACGGCATCCCTTGTGGGTTGCGCAGGACTCGTTCCCCGGACAATGCGGCCGGCAGCAGGCAGAGCCCGACATGTACAGACAGAGCCGGCAGCAAGGAGTGTGGGCGCCGCTCTCGCAGTCGATCTTCAGATTGCTCCGCGGAGAACTTTGGTGCTGCCGAGAGGGACTGCCCCGGCTTGGTCCGCAAGGGCAAGGCCGCCAGCCCGCCCAAGCTGCGCAAGATCTGCTGTGGGGTCTTTGGGCCGACGGCTGTGCCACAGCCTCCGTCTCGCTCCGTGCCCGTCAACACGTTACCCCGCAGCTGCCCCGAGCGGATGGCCCAGCAGCGCACCCGGAGGGCCCGGCTGTCCAACATCGTCCGATCCACTAGTGACCCTTTATCGTGTGTGTCTGCTGCAGAAAGTGAGGAGCGCTGCAGGCATTTGGGTCTATTGATTTAACTCATTTCTATTTATTTATTTATTTATTTATTTACAGTATCGATATTCCACCCGTCTCACCCCGAAGGGGACCCAGGGTAGATCACAATGCACATAAACTGGCAAACATTCAGTGCCGTTTTTAAACATACAACAAAGACAGACAGAAGTATTTTGGCATTTCCCAAATTCGGTGCCTGGAGGTTATGCTCAATTCCGGCCACAGGGGGTGCTCTCGCTTCATCCACTATGACACTGAGTCATTTTGATTGTATTTCCTCCTTGTTCTCTGATCGCCGGCATTTTTTATGGTGCCGTAAAATACTTTCCCGCTTTAAGTGGTCCCTAATTTCTCTACTCACAGCTCAGCTGTTTTTGAACTGTTTAGGTGGACAGTAAGCAAGGCATAACTGTTCTGTCGCCGCTGGAGCTGAAATTAAATGCTCCTAAGAGAGGATGTAAGGCTTGCGTCCAGCGGGAAGCCCGGGGGCCCGAGAAAGAACCTTTAGAGGAATTTTCCTTATTAAACAGGCTTTAGGAGCCTTAAGCATAAATACAACAGTCTTTATTAATGAACAAGCAGGAATTGTAAGATTTCTAAATAGTCTATTGGCTCTTGCAGTCTTATTTACAGGAAACAGGCACTATCTTCAAGAAACTTTGTTTAACAGAAAAATTCCCCTTTAAAGCTCCTCCCAAGCTGCTGTGAACTTAAGCCTGACTGGTTTGAGTCTGCTACCAGCTGAACTGCGTCTCAGAACCGAACAGACATACCACCAGGCTTGAAATCACTTAGCTGAAGATGAAGAGCTGTTATTCCCTCCAGAGGTCCTCAGGGCTGTGAAGTTGTTTCCTGGAACCCTTTGGGAATCTGTAGAGGCCTTTAATCTGTTCTTCCCCAGGAAGTCTTAAAAGACAAAGCCTTTGCACAGGAGGAGCGTCTGTACGCATCCTCTGCCTTGGCTTCCTTTGCTGTGACTAACTGAAAAATGGCCCCTTCCCTCCAAAAAGCAAAAAGGGGGCGGGACCAGGGATCCTAACTATAATTGGCAGGTGGCTTACCCTATAAATGCAAATTATAACAGGAAACCCCCTGCTGCAAAATCCCAAGCATGGGATTGCACACAAACTTTTAAACACAGCAAATAAATCTGGAGCTCTTGGAACAGCTGTTCCAGAACAATAACAGTCGGATGCTCAATCCGACTCGGGCTTTGAACTTGCTACCTTACATTTATTTATTTATTTCGTATCAAAAGCCTGCATATATTAGTATAAAACAGATAAAAATAAGAGCACAGGCGGCTAAATATCTTTTGACCATGGCGCTGGGATCGAGAGCAGGGCCTCTCCAGCTGATCTTAAATTCCGTGATGGTTTGTAACAGGAGATACATTCGGACAGGTAGAGTGGGCCAGAACCGTTTAGGACAGTGGTTCTCAACCTGTGGGTCCCCGAGTGTTTTGGCCTACAACTCCCAGAAACCCCAGCTAGTTTATCAGCTGTTAGGATCTCTGGGACTTGAAGGCCAAAACATCTGGGGACCCACAGGTTGAGAACCACTGGTTTAGGGCTTTAAAGGTTATCTATTTATTTATTTCATATCAAAAGCATTGCATAAATTAGTATAAAACCGATAAAAATAGAAGGAGCGCAGGCGGCTAAATATCTTTTGACCAAAAACGGGCAACAGCAACGGCATTGTCTGTAGCCTCCAACAATTCTTCCTCTGTACATAGTGGACAAGCATACAGATGCGGAGCTTTCTGTTCTGCTCCACAGTCACACAAGGTGTGGGATTCTTTTAGGAAGTGCCATTTTGCCGGGTTGTCTTTTGCCCACTCTGCTTCTGAGTTCAGGGACTTCCAAGTTGCCCATTCTTGGTTTGTCCCTGGAGGAAGACCCTCTCTCATGGGGGGCCATCCAGTTGGGATTTCCTGGTCTAGCTTCCCATGCTGTTGCTGGGGGGAGTGGTAGTTCTCATAAAGCTTTTCCTTGATTTGAGTCTACTGGGAGGAGGCCGGTAGCGGGGTATAAATAAAGTGTTGTTATTATTATTATTATTATTATCATTATTATTATTATTATTATTTTAAGCAAAGTTTGGTCAGGAGGTAACATACATTAAATCATTGAAGGTACACTGCATTTCCTTCTATGAACCCACATGATCCCTTTGATCTTCTGGAGAGGCCCTTCTCTCGCTCCTGCCTCCATCGCAAGCGCGACTTGTGAGGACGAGGGAGAGGGCCTTCTCTGTAGTGGCCCCTTGGCTCTGGAATTCACTCCCCAGAGATATTAGGCAAGCCCCCACCTTGGCAATATTTAGGAGGAGCCTGTAAACTTGGCTGTTCCAGTGTACCTTCAATGATTTAATGTATGTTACCTCATGACCAAACTCTGCATAAAATAATAATAATAATAATAATAATAATAATAATAATAATAATTTATTTATACCCCACCGCCATCTCCCCAAGGGACATGGAGCGGCTTACATGAGGCCAAGCCCAACAACACATCGATAAAAACATCAAGCAATAAAAAAACAACAAGCAATAAGCAAAATAAACAATATTTATTTATTTATTTATTAAAAAGTTTTGTTTACCGACCTTCTCACCTCTCTTGAGGGACTCAGACCGGTTTCCAACCATAATATCACAATAAAACATCATAATTCATATTACAATAAAACATTAAAACATTAAAACAGCAATTACATTCAATAAATACAATGGTCAGTCATCCCACTAAAATTGATGTTCATCATCCTCCATCAATATCTCAGGGTGTTGGCTCATTCATCAAATGCCTGTCTCCATAACCACGTTTTCACCTTCTTCCTGAATGTCAGGATAGAAGGGGCAGTTCTGATCTCTGGTGGGAGAGAGTTCCAGAGTTGAGGGGCCACCACCGAGAAGGCCCTGTCCCTCGTCCCCACCAGATGCGCTTGCGAAGCCGGTGGGACCGAGAGCAGGGCCTCTCCAGATGATCTTAATAATCTTGATGGTTCATAGGGGAGAATACGTTCAGAGAGGTAAACAGGGCCGGAGTCGTTTAATAATAATACAATTAGTATAACTCGTACGTGGACAATAACACGCAAGAATTCAAAAACCTATGACTGGGCCAGATGTCATGGTTAAAATTTTAAAAATAAATGCTGGACATGAACAGAGAATGTATCTAGTACGGCGGTTTTAAACCAAAACTAGGGAGCAACCCAACGAGTAATTAAAGTACTTCTAAGGGTATTTTGCAGGGGAGGGATTCCTTTGTGTCCTGAGAAGCATTTTATTTTCTGGTTTGTGCAATTAAATCTTACCTTATCCCTCGGATCCCCTGTCCTATCACCCAGTGGTTTAAAATTTTTAACCTTTGAAATTGGCCCTGCCCACTATATTCATTTTTTAGTGTTTTAATTTTATATTGTTGTGTTGTTTATTTATATTGGTTTTGTATTTTCTGTTGTTTTCTGTTGTGTTCTTTTGATATATTGTGTTATTGTACTGATGGATGTGGCCTCATGTAAGCCACCCCGAGTCCCCGTGGGGAGATGGTGGTGGGGTATAAATACAAGAGAGGAGATTCCATCTGAACATGAGAAAGAACTTCCTGACTGTGAGAGCCGTTCAGCAGTGGAACTCTCTGCCCCAGAGTGTGGTGGAGGCTCTTAAACAGAGGCTGGATGGCCATCTGTCAGAGTTGGAAGAGACCTCATGGGCCATCCAGTCCAACCCCCCTGCCAAGAAGCAGGAATATTGCATTCAAATCACCCCTGACAGATGGACATCCAGCCTCTGTTTAAAAGCTTTCAAAGAAGGAGCCTCCACCACAATCCGGGGCAGAGAGTTCCACTGCTGAACGGCTCTCACAGTCAGGAAGTTCTTCCTCATGTTCAGATGGAATCTCCTCTCTTGTAGTTTGAAGCCATTGTTCCGCGTCCTAGTCTCCAAGGAAGCAGAAAACAAGCATGCTCCCTCCTCCCTGTGGCTTCCTCTCACATATTTATACATGGCTATCATATCTCCTCTCAGCCTTCTCTTCTTCAGGCTAAACATGCCCAGCTCCTTAAGCCGCTCCTCATAGGGCTTGTTCTCCAGACCCTTGATCATTTTAGTCGCCCTCCTCTGGACACATTCCAGCTTGTCAATATCTTTCTTGAATTGTGGTGCCCAGAATTGGACACAATTCTTTCTTTGGAAGCTTTTAAACAGAGGCTGGATGGCCATCTGTGAGGAATGATTTGAATGCAATATTCCTGCTTCTTGGCAGAATGGGGTTGGACTGGATGGCCCATGAGGTCTCTTCCAGCTCTATGATTTTATGATGATGATGATGATGATGATGATTATACTTAATCATTATGATTAATCATTATGTGCAGCTGCTAATGTAGGTCAGCTAGTAAATTTGAGCCACACCCAGTGGAGTATAACTACAGCTCCCTCTCTCCCTTCCCCTCCCCTCCACCCCCTTTCATTTTAGTTCCTGTCTCTAGTCCTCATGTGGCTGCCTCTACTTGTCAGGACGCCGGGCACCATCTCTTCCCGACTGGGAAGCCGAGGGACCCCCCGAAATCAGGACATTCTCGGAAGCCCAAGGCCTTACAGACCCTCTGCAAGGACCGGCCCCACTCTTTGGTGGACCTCCAGGCCTACAAGGACACCAAGGTCCTGGTAGCCAAGTTCCTGGAGCACTCGAACTGTAACCTTCCCCCGGAGGTGCGTCATGTGGTGAACAGCATCCGCTCGGTCATCAAGTCTGACGAGCGACACATGGAAGAAGCCATCTTCAGTGCCAACGTTATTGATCAGGTGAGCGGGCTTTCAAGGCTTCGTTGGGTGGCGGGGAGATGCCTAGAGAATGGCCTACGGTCAGGAAAGATGCAAGGATGGTGATACAGAGCCTCCAAGTTCAGAGTTTGTCCTTGCTTCTAAGATGCAGTTGGCCCTCTGGATTTGTGGATTTGGTGACACTATGTAACATGATTTTTGTTCCTGGGTTATAAATGTTATTTTCTAATAGGTTCTATCATGGTAAAGGTAAAGGTTTCCCCTGACATTAAGTCTAGTTGTGTCCGACTCTAGGGTTGTGGTGTTCATCTACGAGCCAGCATTGTCTGTAGATACCTCCAAGGTCATGTGGCCAGCATGACTGCATGGAGCACTGTTGCCTTCCCTCTGAAGCAGTGCCTATTGATCTACTCACATTTGAATTTTTCAGACTGCTAGGTTGGCAGAAGCTGGGGCTAACAACAGGAGCTCACCCCAGATTCGAACCGCCAACCTTTTTATTTCTTATTTATTTACAGTATTTCTATACCGCTTTTCTCACTCAAAGTGATCAGCAAGTTCAGCAGCTCAGCAGTTTAGCCTGCTGCACCACTAGGGGCCATATCATATAAACATGAAAAAAGTTTATTAATACTATTTGTATATTCCATCTTTCTCTTAAGTTATTTTGTTCTTTTTTGTTACATTTTTTTGTTATTGCTTTTGTTTTGTCCATATTAATTTTGAATCCCGAAACCTCCCCGTAATTCTTTGTTGTTCTTAACCATTTCTCCAAATTTTGATTGGGCTCTTCAATTATCCCTATTATATCATCGGCAAAAGCTCTAAGCGTATAATCCTGGCCTTGTATTCTTGCTCCCTTTATTTCTTTGTCCTCTCTTATTCTGGGTTAAAATGAATCTTAGGGGCGATATGGGACATCTCTGTCTCGTTCCCTTCTGGATATTGATTGTCTCTGTCTCCTGTCCATTCACTATTAGTTTTGCTTCCTGTGTGTCGTATATTGCGCCAATTATGTTTTCAAAATAGTATCCCATGTCCATTTCTTTTATTAAAATTTTGATAAAATTCAAATTCACACATTTTGCTCAAGTTTTTCAATGAATAGTCTCATCATCAAGTCTCAGCCAATTCAACTTAGTTCGTGACAGACACAAAAACATGGCCATACAGCCCGGAAAACACACAACAACCCAGTGATTCTGGCCATGAAAACCTTCGACAATACAATGTAATAATTAGAAAAAAATCTGTTCCTGGTTTGAAAGTGTTATTCCTGTTTAATTATGCAAGACTTACTTTGAAAGTAGTTGTTAGACCCCAGAAACTTCGTTCTAGAAGCATTCTCTCCTGATGTTTCGCCTGCATGTATGGCAGGCATCCCCAGAGGTCGTGAGGTCTGTTGGAAACTAGGAAAATTGGGTTTATATATAAGCTCCCAAAAGTCCCAGCTATTAGGAATTGTGGGAGGTGAAGTCCAAAACATCTGGAGGAACCGAGTTTGAGAAATGCTGTGTCAATGGTTCTCCTCTTTTCAAGACTAACACTACCTCAGTCTTTAGTAGTCATCAGGGTTCATTTAATCCAGTGGTTCTCAACCTGGGGTCCCCAGATGTTTTTGGCCTTCAACTCTCAGAAATCCTAACAGCTGGTAAACTGGCTGGGATTTCTGGGAGTTGTAGGCCAAAACACCTGGGGACCCACAGGTTGAGAACCACTGAATTGGTCCTCCAACTGTTTTAGACTTCATCTGTCAAAAGCCCCAGCCAACTTGACCAGCAGTCAAGAGAATTCTGGGAGCTGAAGTCCACAACATCTGAAGACCAAAATATAGGAAACGTTGACCTAATTCCACTTAGCCAATGGTTCTCCTCTTGTCAGGACAAACAATATCTTGGTCTTTGGTGGTCATCAAGGATCATCTAAGACAGGCATGGGCAAACTTCAACTCTCCAGGTGTTTTGGACTTCAACTCCTACCATTCCAATGGGAGTTGAAGTCCAAAACACCTGGAAGGAGGGCCAAAGTTTGCCCATACCTGATCTAAGCTCATTGTTGGACCACTCCTTGGATAGAAGGCCAAGAGGAGACTGGCTTGGCCATCTATCTTTCCCTATTCTTTTTCCTCCTCTTCCAGGTGATCACAAGCTCCCAGCAGAGTGTGGATACCTCCCGAAAGCGGCTCCAGGAAGACCTCCACCTCCAGAGCTGTGGGGCGCTGAGCTCTCCAGTTGCCTTCTTACGCAGGGCCCACGTCACCCGCACCTTTGAGCGGGGAAGGCCCCACAGCTTCGTCGGAGTTTGTCGGGAGACCGTCCTTTGACCCTAAATATTACTTCTGAGGACCAGATGCCCATGGAGGAGACCTTGAAGGCCTAGAGCCACGTGTGAAGGAAGGTTCAGCCACAAAGAGATGGCTGGGATTGGGACAGAGGAGAGAGAGAGAAGGGGCCGAAAAGGATCCAGCAACTTACCATCCGTCTCAGCAAGTCCCGGCCTGGATCTTCAGTCCCAAAAACCACCTTGTCATGAGTGCATCTTCACACAACAACATTGGCAGAAGGAATTGGGAGTTTGAAATGAGAAAACTTTGTAAAGTCTGTGTTTTCCTCCCATGTTGAAGAAGATCCCAGCGTAACCGCTTGGGGTAGACACCATGTGGTTGCTGAGCTCCAACAACAAATGCTACGGTACAACTTAGAAGTTGTATGTTCTTCACCGTACCTCAAAAGTATTTGAACTCAATCTGAACAGTGTTTTAATAAAATAAGGATGGTCATGATCATTTAAAAAAAAATCAAAAAAAAGTATCCCTGGACTGTGCATCTTCCAGGACTGATTTATCAATGGATGGGTCTTCTGTTGAGGCAGAAGAAGTTTGGTTATTATTCTATGTCATATCTGTTATAATTTTTTTTACATTGTCCCAACTCGAGTAAAAACATTTCAAGTTGCTCAGAATATTTTGTTTTATATCCCAATACATTTTGGCCTGTATCAGCGTTTCTCAACCTGGGGGTCGGGACCCCTGAGGGGGTCACAAGGGGGTGTCAAAGGGGTCGCCAAAGACCATCAGAAAACAGTATTTTCTGTTGGTCATGAGGGTTCTGTGCAGGAGGTTTGGCCCAATTCTATTGTTGGTGGGGCTCAAAATGGTCTTTGATTGTAGGTGAACTATACATCCCAGCAACTACAACTCCCAGATGTCGTCATCATCATCATCATTTAATAACTTATTAATCGCCCTCCATCCGAGAATGCTCTAGGCGATTTCAGCGTGATGGTGTACCTATAGTACCAGGCAGCGGTGAGTACAGCCTGGTGAGTCAGGGATGGTGTCGGACGATGCACGCCGTGAATCTCAAGTGACGTGTCGTTACTCCTATCCTCTTATAGCGTGCCAGTATCGGCCTCGTACTCCCGTGGTTAGTAGTGGCGTCGATGTTGTCGTAGGGGCTCTAGTAAAAAGCCAGGTCTTAAGTGCGAGAGTAAAAGGCCCTCAGTCACGCATGGCTCTCATGTAGGGCGGCAAGGAATTCCACAAGGCAGGGGCAGAAATAGAAAAAGCCCATCTCTGTCTGGTCTATTTCGAGGTCTATTTCCTCCAAACTCCACCAGTGTTCACATTTGGACATATTGAGTATTCATGCCAAGTTTGGTCCAGGTGAACTACAACTCCCAAACTCAAGATCAATGCCCACCAAACCCTTCCAGTATCTTATGTTAGTCATGTTTTGTGTGCCAAGACTGGTTCAATTCCATCATTGGTGGAGTTCAGATTGCTCTTTGGTGGTAGGTGAACTATAAATCACAGCAACTACAACTCCCAAATGACAAAAACAATCCACCCCCAACCCCACCGTATTCAAATTTGGGTGTATCTGGTATTTATACCAAATTTGGACCAGTGAGTGGAAATACATCCTGCATCTCAGATATTTACATTACAATTCATAACAGTAGTCAAATTACAATTATGAAGTAGCAACAAAAATAATGTTATGGTTAGGGGTCACCTCAACATGAGGAACTGTATTAAGAGCATTAGGAAGGTTGAGAACACGCCTGTATATTGTCTTAATAAATAAAAAGGGCTTCTATTCTTATGTCAGTAGAAAAAGGAAAAACAAGGAGGCGATAGGACCTCTTCGAGGAGAAGATGGGGCAATGCTGACAGGGGATAGGGAAAAGGCAGAACTACTTAATGCCTTCTTTGCCGTCTTCTCACAAAAAGAAAGTCTTCAACCTCAGCAAGATGGAGTGGATGAGGGATTGGAGGACATCCAACCCCAAATTGGGAAAGAAGTCGTCCAGGAATACCTGGCCGCTCTTAATGAGTTCAAGTCCCCAGGGCCAGATCAACTACACCCCAGAGTATTGAAGGAACTAGCGGAAGTCATTTCGGAACCATTGGCAACCATCTTTGAGAGTTCTTGGAGAACGGGAGAAGTTCCAGCAGATTGGAGGAGGACCAATGTGGTCCCAATCTTCAAGAAGGGAAAAAAGGATGACCCAAACAACTACCGTCCGGTCAGCCTCACGTCGATACCGGGCAAGATTCTGGAAAAGATTGTTAAGGAAGCGGTGTGCAAACACTTAGAAACAAATGCAGTCATCGCTAATAGTCAACATGGATTTATCAAAAACAAGTCATGCCAGACTAATCTGATCTCTTTTTTCGATAGAGCTACAAGCTGGGTAGATGCGGGGAATGCCGTGGATGTAGCGTACCTGGATTTCAGTAAGGCCTTCGACAAGGTCCCCCATGACCTTCTGGCAAGGAAACTAGTCCAATGTGGGCTAGGCAAAACTACGGTGAGGTGGATCTGTAACTGGTTAAGTGGACGAACACAGAGAGTGCTCACTAATGCTTCCTCTTCATCTTGGAAAGAAGTGACAAGTGGAGTGCCGCAGGGTTCCGTCCTGGGCCCGGTCCTGTTCAACATCTTTATTAATGACTTAGATGAAGGGCTAGAAGGCAGGATCATCAAGTTTGCAGACGACACCAAATTGGGAGGGAGAGCCAAGACTCCAGAGGACAGGAGCAGGATTCAAACGATCTTGACAGATTAGAGAGATGGGCCAAAACTAACAAAATGAAGTTCAACAGTGACAAATGCAAGATACTCCACTTTGGCAGGAAAAAATGAAATGCAAAGATACAGAATGGGCGACGCCTGGCTCGAGAGCAGTACGTGTGAAAAAGATCTTGGAGTCCTTGTGGACAACAAGTTAAACATGAGCCAACAATGTGATGTGGCGGCAAAAAAAGCCAATGGGATTTTGGCCTGCATCAATAGGAGCATAGTGTCTAGATCTAAGGAAGTAATGCTACCCCTCTATTCTGCTTTGGTTAGACCACATCTGGAATATTGTGTCCATTTCTGGGCACCACAATTCAAGAGAGATATTGACAAGCTGGAATGTGTCCAGAGGAGGGCGACTAAAATGATCAAGGGTCTGGAGAACAAGCCCTATGAGGAGCGGCTTAAGGAGCTGGGCATGTTTAGCCTGAAGAAGAGAAGGCTGAGAGGAGATATGATAGCCATGTATAAATATGTGAGAGGAAGCCACAGGGAGGAGGGAGCAACTTGTTTTCTGCTTCCTTGGAGACTAGGACGCGGAACAATGGCTTCAAACTACAAGAGAGGAGATTCCATCTGAACATGAGGAAGAACTTCCTGACTGTGAGAGCCGTTCAGCAGTGGAACTCTCTGCCCCGGAGTGTGGTGGAGGCTCCTTCTTTGGAAGCTTTTAAGCAGAGGCTGGATGGCCATCTGTCAGGGGTGATTTGAAGGCAATATTCCTGCTTCTTGGCAGGGGGTTGGACTGGATGGCCCATGAGGTCTCTTCCAACTCTTTGATTCTATGATTCTATGATTCTTGGTGTGAATCTTAACTTCCAACATTTCTGGACAAAAGATATTATTTGTCCAGTTTGAGATTTTCTGAAGCAGGAGTGTTTGGATTCAGACCAGTCCCTCGAAGAAGGCCATAAGGGTCCATTCAGGCTGAAATCTGTCGAAAGCCTTGAAGAAATGAAACTATGGTGACCTCCAGTGGAAGGTAAGGGTCCTAGCTGGCAAATTCTGCGCAATATTGATTTCTAGATCGGAGAATAAAGGGAGAACAGATTTGGAGGAATGGGCTTTAAAAGCCTGGAAGAGGGATCCATCCAGTTCAGCAAGTCACAGAATGCAAATTCACACAAACATAGTTCCATCAGATGACACGATTGTGGAATCTTCCACTCAGTGGTTACAATCACATGGGGCAGATATCTATTACAAAGTATTATGTTATTGAAACTTCAAGTATGCTGTCATATGACAGGTTTATTACTTGTTGTTGTCTATTTGTTCAGTTGCTTCCGACCCTTCGTGACCTCCTGGACCAGCCTAGGCCAGAGCTCCCTGTCAGCCGTCACCACCCCCAGCTCCTTCAAGGTCAAGCCAGTCACTTTAAGGCTGCCAGGGCTTTAATTGTGCTTCTTTTTTGACTTAGGTGATGGTTGGAGTTTTTATGTAGGTATCTATCTCTGTGTGTAGGTTTTCTGTAAACTGTGTGGCCCAACTGTTGATCTGGTTTGCGGATGACTAGGACATCTAGAAAAGGCAGCCTTCCTTCATTTTCCTTTTCCATGGTGAATTGGATGTTTGGGTGGATGCTGGCAGTCTCTCCTCTGGCTTCCAAACGTTATGGCTTTACGGCTTCACACTTTCCGAACATCCATCTGGGTCCAGCACACCCCGCTCACAACTCTGCTTACTCCCGGCGTCAGTCTTCATCCGAAGACACTCACCAGCTCTCTGTGTGACAGGCTCCAGTCTAAAGCACACAGCTTCAATCACAGCCTCCAACCTGGTTAGCAACTCAGCAGGTTAGCAGGTCCACTCTGCAGCTCAACAGTACAAAGTTAACAAGCCCAGTTAGTGTTTGGGCCCATAACCAATTGTTAACGCTGGCAAAGAATCGCACTGAATAATGGACTCTGGAGTCTGGAGTCTCCAGTAAAAAGCAAGTTTCAGATTTACTTGAGCAGTTCAAAGACAAACATACACCATCAGCGGACAGACGTGAAGAACACAAAACAAAAGAGATAGACACTTAAAACAAACTGCAGATGGAAGGGAGGTTATCTCTGGCACTCCCTAAACTTGCACACAGCAAGAATTCAGGGTCACATTCTCACAGCCTCCTGCGTAAACATACATCCTGGCAACATAATTCTATTACAATTCCAATCCTACTACATAAAATTGCATTTAAACATACATCATACATAAAATATACACTGACAATTAAGATGGTCCAGCTATGGAGAAGTACTCGCAAGAAAATAGAAATGGAAGGAAATGGCAACAAAAGAAGACTAGGAGAATAAACTATGGGAAATAATGGACATTGATACACTGACCTACTTAAAATACTCAGGGGGAAAACCTCTGAAACCTACTGACTGGACATTGTATAAGGAGCATATGAAAGCTCAACAAAGTTCATACTGTTCATTTTTTCAGTCATTTCCAACTCTTTGTGACCTCATGGACCAGCCCACGCCTGAGCTCCCTGTCAGCTGTCACCACCCCCAGCTCCTTCAAGGTCAGTCCAGTCCCTTCAAGAATCCCATTCATCCATCTTGCCCTTGGTCGGCCGCTCTTCATTTTTCCTTCCATTTTCCCCAGCATAAGTATCTTTTCCAAGCTTTCCTTTCTTCTCATGATGTGGCCAAAGTACTTCATCTTTGCCTCTAATCTCCTTCCCTTCAGTGAACAGCTGGACTTTGTTTCCTGAAGTATGGACTGGTTGGATCTTCTGGTGGTCCAAGCCACTCTCAGAACATTCCTCCAACACCTCAGTTCAAAAACATCTCTCTTCCTTCGCTCAGCCTTCCCTATGGTCCAGCTCTCACATCCGTAGGTGACTATGGGGAATACCATTGCTTTGACTATGTGGATCTT